ACAAACACACACACAAACACACACACAAACACACACACAAACACACACACAAACACACACACAAACACACACACAAAAAAAAAACATACACACACAAACAACACACACACAAACACAGGTGTGTTTTTGTGTGTTTTCCCCTTGTGATCTGGACCCCCACGAGGCGCTTGTCCTGCATGCAAACCATGCGACATGCAGGGTTCGTAGCGCAAGTGCTCCGCAAACACGAGGTGAAGGAGCGAGGGAGGAAGAAGAGGTGGCGTAGAGTGACCACAATACCAATCAACGATGCCGCAAGACACCCTCCACAATCCCTCATTGGCCCGTACAATATCTTATTGATCACTGCGCGAGACGCCCTCCATGAAAGACGCACGCCCCCCAAACCCGCAATACAATCGCAACACAACGACAACCCCCATTTTGAACATGAACCGCCATCCACCCGTGTAGTGGTTCTCGCATGTTTCAGACTTCTGCTTGTGCAGTGTGGTGTGAAGGATGAGGCGAGAACCCCATGTCGACGAGGCACCTCCCTCCATTCGTGTACCTGCCCCATGCTCCACTTGTTGCAATGGACTTTGAGGACCTCTGCGGCGATGGGCACCGTTCTGAAAGAGAGACGCGCTCCATCCGAGCCACTGGTGGACACAGGAGGAGCTCGACCACAAGAGACCTTCCACAAGAAAATCAGCTCTGAGTCCCAAGGACGTCCATCGACTTCTGCTGTGGGGGCGTCACGCCTTCCATGGCAACATCACCGAAACCCGAGAGACCCAAAGCACCCGAACTGGGTGCTTCTCGGCACGGGCTTCCGCTACATGAGCGCACACAGCTGCGCGGCGCCACGGCATTTGGGATACCGCTTGCCCCTTGTCACCATGTGACCGCTGGAAGCGCTGTGCATTGAGCAGGGACCGACCGTCCCGGCATTCCTATAGCCCTACCACGAAATGTTCTTAGAACCCCAAAATGTTCTTAGAACAAAAACAATGTTCTTAGAACATACGCCCGATGCGCTAAAACAAGACAGTCTCAGCCAGAAATGTTCTAAGAACATTTCGTGCAAACCACAAAAGGTTCTTAGACCATTGTTTGGTAGGGCTATAGGCGAGCCAGGACGCTTCGCCACTGCTTGAGTGCACGGCGCGGGCGCGCGGCGCCAACAAATTTGCAGCAGGAGCTCTGCCTCGAGACCTGGCCGCCCTGCCTCCGCGCGGCTGCCGCTCTGCGCGACGGCGCGGGGCGCCGGGGCGAAGGGGCCCCCATGCTGAGACCGCTCGCGCGCTCCGTCGGTGCACACGGCCGAGCCCGGGACACATCCATCCTCCAAGAACACCGGGGCCCCCCGCCGGCCCAGGCCGACGAAGAGTCGAGGGCACCCTCCCCCAGGATGTGCATAGGGCGCCCAACACAAGCACGAGGAACAGTGGGGCACCCTCCTCGAACCGACCTGGATCGGTGTTGCCTCGGTCCGGCCGCATACGGCACACATGGAAGCCTGTGAGCACCACGGGCGCGGCGCCCTGGCGAGATGCCGCTTCTGAGGCCGTCCGCGCCCCACCCTTTTTTGAGCTGCGGGGCGAGAGCGAACCTCTTCCGCTGAAAGCTGAGCGGGACGCGCACAGCTTTTCTTAGCAGAGAGAAAATGCGAGAGAAGGCGGGGCCTCACGGCGGCCGGAAGAGGGCGAAGCCCTGGGATCAGGCGGTGCCGAAGATGATGTGCAGGAAAAGGTGCCCAACCCATGCAACGATCGGAAGAGAGCATGTCTTGCCCGGTCGCGTCGAGCTCCAGGGCCACGTCGAGCGAGTCCCACGTGCTGCGCCCGATCCGCCCGAACCACGCGTCTGCTGGCGCAGCAGGCGGGGGGACATCATTTGCATCTTCTGGAACATGCTTCGGCGGCGAGCGGGGGGGGGAAATGCGAGAGGGCGGGCCTTCTCAGAAGGCTCGGCAGTCCCCCGCCCTTCCGAGAAGTGTCCTCAGCCTTCCCCGAAGACGCAGACGACTCATCAGAATGCGCGAGGGCCTCCGAGAAGTCCCGCCGCCTTCTGAGAAGGCCCTCTCCTTCTCGCTTCCCCCCCTCGCTCGCCGCCGACATATGCAACTGCTGGAACATGCTATTACCCCCCCCCCGAACCCCTAAAGACCGCCCCTGGACTTATGTTGTTCCCATCGTACTTAAGGACCGCATCGCAGGAATCATTTCGAGCACCCAGAGAAGTATCGAAGCAGTGTCGAACGAGTATCGCCTCCCGGGGCCCGACGTGTGGCAACCCTCCAGTTTCGGCACGTTCTTGGTACTCGAAACTCTGTCTGGTGATCAAGGCTAAGGCAGGTTGGAACATCATAATCCTGGACGGCTGCCATCCGTCGAAGACATGCACTTGTGAGTTTTTTTCGGAGGAGGCCCGTGTCGGACAGTCTTGGAGTGTGGGCATCGATCAACCGACCCCTGCCCCCGTGGACGTGGCCTGGGCCCCCGTGGCCGATGGACCCCCCAGATGGGGACCTGCAGGCCGCTCCCTTCGGGCCTCGAGGCGTGCGTCCCCGGCTGGGGGTGCATGGGGATGCGCGGGGGTCGGGGATGGGCATGGGGATGGGCATGGGGATCGAGTCGCCAGGAAACATCTCTTGGCCCCTAGGGTGGGCCTGGGCCCCTGGGCGATCGTCTTTTGGCTCCTAGGGGTGCCCTGGGCCCTTGGGCGATCTGCAATTCACCGCGGGGTTGGTCTGGGGTGCCCTGGAAGCTCCCCCAGGGAGCCCCGAATCGCTAGGAAACGTCTTTTGGCCCCGCCCTGGCGCGAACGAGGCCGAGCCTGGCCATCGCTCGGGCGTCCGCTGCCCGTGCCTTTGTCGGTCCCGTGCGCGGCCTTCTCGCCAAACGATCCAGGACGCTCCTCGGTGGCCCTCGCCGGAGGAGACATGCACACGCCCGAGCGATGCCGAGGAGCGCGGGCGGCGGGCGCTGCAGAGGCCGATGGGGGAGCTCGGGGGCCTGCCGGCGCGCGTCGAGAGGCCTCCGGGAGGCCGCCGCACGGCAGGCAGGCCCGCGTCGGCTAAGAGGCCTCTGCTATCTGCTGTTCGCGATCTCGTGCCCTCGAGGGGGGGGGAAGGGCACGGCGGGCTCTCGCGTCGTGCCGACCTCGGCGAACGATCGGCCGCTTTCCGAAGCCTCCGGATCGCTCCGCATCGGACGAGTCTGGGCCGCCCGCGGCGCGCAGGGCTGAGCGCCGCAGGCGGGGTCCGCCGCCAGCCGAGGCGACGCGAGCCTGCCGTGCGCATTGCGGAGGGGCTGCGCGGTCGAGCCGTAACAGAAGGATGCGCGACGAAGATGCAGGGGCCTCGGACGCCCATGTCCAAGCTTTTCGAGCGGGGCGCGGCCAACGAAAGTGGCCAAGGATGGACCGAGGAGGCAAACATGCAAGGGTACCCTTGGGAAGGTTGCACATCCTTGCTGTGCGGGTTGGCTGTGCTGGCAATTTGGACTGTTCTTGGAACAGAAGATGGCGCTGCTTGGGCCCATCGCTGTGGCCGTTTTCGCACGCAGAATTTTGGATGGGGTTCGGCAATTTTGGCTCAAAATCCCACCAGCCATTTCGGGCATCAGTGGCTTAGAGCGTTTCCTCTTCCATCTTCCTTTTTCCCCTTCGGGCAGGGGTTTATAATCCGATTTTCATGGCTGTGTTCAGATGGTGTCCCGTTGGTGCCCCGATGGTGTCCCGATGGCCATCATGCATCGTCACCGGCTCGCGAGCGCACCACCAGCATCGACACCATTACAATCATCGCAGCTGGTTCCCCCACCACAACCTCCTGATCGCCCGAAGGGCGGTCGTATGGGTATGAGACCGGACCGACGTAGCTTTGGCGTCCTGCGCCCCCCCCGCTCGGTGTCCAGGCCGGGCCACATGGGGCAGTTATCCGCCATGGGGCCCTTCACCCAGAACAGCTCGAAGGGGTTCCTGGTGTCCTTCCAGACCCACTTCTTCACGGTGGTGTCCATCTTCGTGACCATGTCCCAACCGAAGGGCGAGATGTCGTAGCTCCGCTCCTCCGCGGCGTAGTAGGTCAGGGACTCCATGTCGTGCTTCGGCGGGGGGGCGTACGAGTCCGTGCTGCAGTGGGAGCAGCGGAGCGGGCACAGCTTCAGGTTCTGCATGGCCTCATCCGTGGGCGACGAGGAGTCGCTGGGCCACGAATTGCTGGGCCACTCGCACCTGTGCGAGGACGAGACTCCAGCGCAGAGGCCCAAAGATGCACGGAACGGAAGGACGATGTGGGGAGGAGGGAGGAGAGGAGGGAGAGGAAGGAGAGGGAGGAGTAGGGAGGGGAGGAAGGGAGGGAGGAGGGAGGAGGGAGGAGGAGGGGAGGAGGGAGGGAGGGAGGGGGAGGGAGAGAGGGAGGAGGGAGGAGGGAGGGAGGTGCGGCGGCGGGCGGGCGAGGGGAGGCGGGGGGAGCGGGCGGGGCGGAGGGGTCGGGGGGTCGGGGGAGAAGGGGGGGGAGGGGCCGGGGCGCGGGGGGCGGGGGGGGGGGAGGGGGGAGCGACGCTCTGCACACCCTCGATTCCCGCTCCGTCTCGTCCCGCCTCCCGTGCGCCCCTCCCGGTCTCCCGCGCGGCCCCATCCTCTGCCCGCGGTGTCCACCTCGCTGCTGCCTTCTGGCCCCCCCGTGGGGAGAGGAGGGACACGAGCACCGACGCTCTGCACACCCTCGATTCCCACTCCGTCTCGTCCCGCCTCCCGTGCGCCCTCCCCAGTCTCCCGCGCTGCCCCATCCTCTGCCCGCGGTGTCCACCTCTGAAGGGGCCCTGGGACACACGAGTAAAGAGACACAGAGAACCAGATGCCCCCTATCTTCCCATGTGTTCTGGGGTGTCTGTCTTCTCCCCCGCTTCCCATCTTTTCCCATATTTTCTGGGGAGTCGACGACTCATTGTGTCTGTGTGTTTTTTCCCCTCCTGATTCTGCCCCCCCCCCCGTCGGCGGCGGGTCGCTGGGGGGCAGTGAGAATGGGCGGGCCTTCTCCGAAGGCTCTCGGCAGGCCTCGGGCCTGCGGAGCAGTTTTCCATGCCCTTCCCCGACGACGCAGTACACTTCTTCGAAGGTTAGGAGGCAACTACTCGGAGGTTTTCGTCGGAAGGATGGAGGATTAAGCCCCATTGGGGGCTGTTACGCCAGAGTGGGCCTCGGACTAAGCAAGATTAAGCCAGATCTGGCGGGATTAAGCGGGATTAAGCCGGATTAAGCGGGACTAAGCTGGATTAAACCGGCTTTCGGACCAGGGCGAAAACAGAATTTGACCTCCCAGGAGTTGCATCCGAAACAGGGGACTTCTCCGAAGGCTCGAGGGCCTCCGAGAAGTCCTGCCGCCTTCTGAGAGGGCCTTCTCCTTCTCGCTTCCCCCCCTTCGCTCGCCGCCGACTCATGGTCCATCCTCCTCCCTCCTATGCTCAGGTCGGGCGTGTCACCCTGCAGGCGGATTGTGGGCGAAAGTTTTAGAATAGGCAGAAAATACTCAAACAATAATCAAGAATAGTCGAAACATCGCCCCCAGCCTAATTTGTGTCAATTTTTGGATATTCCTCCTGTAGAGGGACACGCCCGACTAAATCCTATTCTCATGGTCCCTCTCACACTCCCTGCCCCTGCCCCTCCCTCCTTCGGGCGGTCCCCTCCCCCGTCCTTCCACCCCCCTCCCCCAGCCGCTCAGGGAGGAGGCTTGCCGGAGGAAGGGGTGGGAAGGTGGGGGAGGAGGTGACTCAGGTGACCCAGACCTCCGACGTCGTGATGCTTTCACAACGTCGTCCCCCAGAGGACTGGACGCCTTCCCCGGGGCCCATCTTTCGTCCCGAGTCGTTTCAAGGGGCCCAGGGGCACACACATAAATGCACACACATTTTCCAACATTTTTCCAATCATTTTTGGATCTTCGTCTTCCCCCCCACTTCCCATATATTCGTGTATTTTCCTGGGAACCGACGATTAATTGTGTCCCGGGGCCGCCTAGCCTAGCCCCCCCTGGGCCCCTAGGCCCGGTGCAGGCCCCCGTGGGCCGAAACCAGCGAGAAGCTTCTCGTCGCGATCTGCTCACGACGCAGGGGTGTCTGGGAACAAATACGCCACTACCTTTTTTTGTTGAGGGAGAAGATGGAAGCGCACACGATGACGTTTGAAACACCTGTTGATCAGGAATAACTGACCGAATTTCCGCCCCGTAGCAGCCGGACGTAGAAATCAACTTCGGGCCGAAATACGCCACCACCATTACCCATCGGTCGGAAGACGTAGGTAGAAACAGGAAGTAGGAAGGCGTTGGAAATAAATTGGGCTTCCGCCCGCCTCCTGAAGAGGAGGGAAGAGGGAAAACCACTCGACTTCTGAAGTAGAAAGGCGCTGAAAGTAGTTTGGAATCTGGGCATCCAAACATACCTACTTTCAACGACCGATGGGTAGGTCGGGCATGTCCTCCTACAGGCGAATTTTAGAAAACAAGCGAAACAGACTCAAGCAATCTTGAAACATAGTCAAAATAGTGGAACAAGTCGTCCATGGTCTATTTGTTTTGACTATTTTTGGATGTTCCTCCTGTAGAGGGACATGCCACGCTTAACACCACCGCCTACATTCCCGCTCCCTCCTCTGCCCTCCTCTCTCTCTCCCCCTTTCCTGGGAGAAGGCGGGGACGAGGGAGGTGGTGGTGGTGTACGGCAAGTTCGTGTCGTGTCGACCCGGGCGTTGTTTCCCTCCACCGCGGGGACCGTTCGAAGGATCGGCCGCTTCCGCAAGGTCCGATCGTTCAACGCCGACCGATTCTGGGCCGCCGCAGGCGTGTTCAACGCGGAACGCCGGCGGCGGGGTCGGGGCCGGTCGACACCACACGAGCCTTCCGTACACGATTCGGCCCCGTCGGGATTCGGGGATCTTCTGACCCTGGTCAATCCAGGCCCGGGTCAGTCAGGCCTGGTAAAATCTTGCAAGATCCTGCAAGATCATGCGCCCAAGCCCGGGTCAATGCGAAGGATCCTGTCGGATCCTGGCCCTGCATGATCCTGCAAGCTCGGGCGCTCTGGCTGACCCCCGCTTGCATTGACCCCAGTCTCTTGTTGAGCAGGAAACGACCGTCCTGGCATTCCTATGGGCCTACCACGACATGTTCTTAGAACCCCAAAACGTTCTAAGAACATAGAACCATGTTCTTACAGCATCGACCCGATGCACTAACACAAGACAGCCCCAGCCAGAAAGGTCCTGAGACCATGCCGTGGAAACCGCAGCAAAAGGCTCTCATAACGTTGTCTGGTGGGCCTACAAGCACGCCAGGACGCCTCGCCACTGCTTGATCTTGAGCACCGCAGGGACGGACTGGAAGCGAGTGCCGGCTGCCGCCAGAGTTCAGTCGGACGTGTCCCCCTACAGGGGGATTTTGGGCGAAAAAATACCCCCAAATGCCCCCAAATGGCAAAACAAACTAACAAAGAACAGTCCCCAGACTATGTTTGGACCATTCTTTGACCACTTTTGGGGTATGTTTCATTTCTCGTCGAGAATCCCCCTGTAGTTTGGACGCCCGAGATGGGCACGGAAACAATGGGTACAATGCCCAACAGGAGTTCCTGTTCATTTTGAACAGGACTCGCTGTCCACGCCGCCGCGGCCTGTGCCCATTCGAGACAGAGGGCCGCCTGCCCAGCAGCGGCCGCTGTCGGTTTGGGAGGACATCTGTTGTTGGGCATTGTGCCCATTCTTTCGGTACCCACTTCGGGTGTCCAATCGGGGATGGACAGACCCCCCTTTAGTAAAACGTGGTTTAGTGAAAACGACCTGAGGCCTAAACCTGGAGGGCGCAAACATGGAAAATAACGGCCACGGCGCCCTCTCGAGAACCTGTCCAGCCCCGATCCAAATGTAGGGCGCCAGGCCCGACGCAACGCCAGAGGCAGCCCGGACCCCGCGAGGTGCCACAAGTGCGAGATCATCTCGCGCGTCTCCAGCCTGGATCCTCGGCATAGGAGGGGGAGAGAGACGGAGAGAACACGGGAGTCAAAGGGCGCAGCCCTCGGTAATAAGACATGACTAATCCTAATCCTACTACTCAATCCTAATCCTTCAATACTCAAACTCATAAGAGTAAATACTAATCAGAATTAATAACGAATCGCATAAGAATACCTAATAACTGAAGACTCATAAGCAGACTAAGAATCTCCTCATCCTCCTCCTCCCTCCTACTCCTCCTCCTCCTCCTCCTCCTCCTCCTCCTCCTCGTCCTCGTCCTCGTCCTCGTCCTCCTCCCCCTCCCCCTCCAGCATCCCAGGGCGGGAGCCGAGCGGTGCTTCTCGCTGTCGCCCTGTGCTCGTCGTCCCTCGTCCTGGCCTCCAGCCGCCGCTGCTGCGGGGCGGGCTCGGAGCGACGAGGGCCCGCAACACGTCGCCCAGGGCTCCGTGTGGTGCGGGCCCCGCCTCTGGCGGCATCCGAGACTCGCCATCGCTCGGACGTCCATTCCCTGTGTTTGTTTCGGTTTCGTGCCTTTTTTTATTCATATATATATATATACACACATTTTTTGCCAAATGATCAAAGATGCTCCTCGATGGTCCTCGCCGAAGGCAAAAAATGCTCACGTCCGAGCGATACCAAGGAGAGGGGGCGCGAGGGGGTGGAGGGTGGAGGGCGGAAGCGTGCGGACAGCAGTTCAAGGACGTAGAGGACAACGCCGATTCCGCGGGACCAAAACTGAAGGGACCCTGGGACACACAAGTAAATACACACAAATAAAAGGATGCCCCATATTTCCCGCATGTTTGGGCGGCTCTTGTGTCCCCCCCCCACACACTTCCTATATTTTCCCGTATTTCCCTGGGAGTCGACGATTCATTGTGCCTGTGTGTTTTTCCCCCTCTGGAAAAACAGCAAGGTCACATTTCCCTCATCCCTGTCTGCAAGAGGGGCGAGGAGGAGCTGCTGGGCCACCCGCGCCTGCCGCCCATGGGCTGGCAGGCGGCGATCATGCTGCCGTACTTGACCTGCGCGGGAGGTGCCCCCAACACTCGGCTCGGAGGGGGGCGAGTCGAGGCAACGGCAGAGGAGGAGGAGGAGGAGGAGGAGGAGGAGGAGGAGGAGGAGGAGGAGGAGGAGGAGGAGGGGGAGGAGGAGGAGGAGGAGGAGGAGGAGAGGGTGAAAATAATGAGAAGGACGAGGAGGAGGAGGAGGAGGAGGAGGAGGAGGGCAGCTCAAAATCGATCCCTGGAACCCTCCAAGGGGCCAAATGCACCACTTTTTCCCGAGCTGCGTCCAACCGCGGCGACGACGGGGCCGCCCCACAAGCCCACTACCGTTGTCTCAACTCGCCGACCTGCTCCTCCTCACCTGCGGCGAGGACGCCGGCGAGGACGACGAGTCCGACGGGCGAGAACGGCGGCGGCGACGATGACGACGACGACGATGACCGCCATGCCCCACGCACCCACCGCGCCCTGCGAGGAGCCGGCCACGTAGAGCCGCGAGGGGTCGACCTTCGTCGGCATCGCCGGTATCGGTATCGGTGTCGTCGTCGTCGTCGTCGTCGTCGTCGTCGTCGTCGTCGTCGTCGCTGTCAACGTCAACGTTTTCGTCGCCGCCGCCGCCGTCGTCGTCGCCGCCGTCGTCGTCATCGTCGTCGGCGTCGACGTCGTCGGGGGCCTTCTCAGGGCCGAGACGCCGGAGGATCTCCGTGAAGAGGCACCAGACGGCGTCCTCGGAGCATAAGGTCGAGGGTCGAGGTCTGTGGGCGTTTCAGGCCTCCATCTTGGGCCACCTCCAGAGGCCGCCCCGGGCATCAGAACACTGGGGAGCTCCTCGTTGAGGCCTGGACAAAATGGTAATACTGGGTGTGGGTATGTTGCCCGTCCCGCGGGCTCACCCGGACTATGGACCCGGAGACACGACAAGTGACACGTGGCAGATGCGTTACATGTTTGCACATCCGCCGCCCCCGCAGGGGGCCAGCAGGCTGCGAGGT